CAGTCTACAAACACAAACCCCGGCTTTACTGTCCCAAGATTTTTCCCCAGAGACCTACAGCACCTTCAGTCTCTCCACAGCTGGAGATGATTAAAACTAATACTGTATGTCTAATCCTGACAAATGGGAAACAGATACTGTAGCTGTGTAAGTTTCAAGCTTTTGACTGCCTCAGTAATTGAAAAAGGAAAAGCCCCAAAGAGGATTAGATATCCAGATCTATCTAGCGGCATATCTAGATCAAACAGATCTATCAATATGGCTGTTCAAATATATATACACACAGACACACACTATATAGTGCTTATAATAAATCTGAACCACAATGACCTGTGACATTTAAAAACATTTAAAACCACTTCAGTTTCATCAGTTTGCCTTGATACTGCTGTATATCTGACCTTGAGTAATGTGTGTTTGAACTTTGGCTCACAGAGATCAATGCTCATTAGATCACAGCACAAAGCAACTGTTTGTGTTCTACTAACATGCAGGGCGCACTATAGTCGGGGACACACACACACACACACACACACACACACAACCAGCTCAATTGTCAAACAAACACTGTATTGCTCACAATCAACAGAACTAAAACACGTGTTCAATCTTGCACATTTTAAGTCATACACCAAGTAGACAAGGGAAGATACAAAGGTCTGACCACACACTGACACAGGGACACATGCACCCAGCTGGACCACAACACACCGCAGGAAGTACTCGCTTGATGCAGTTAGTCACAGTCTATATTGCCACCTACAGAGCGCCTCTGTAAAGCACAGAATCACTCATCCTCAATCACAGCTGAGTATTTAAGTGGCTGTCAGACAAAACAGATTAGCTATAACAAGTGTATCAGCACACAGCTTGTCAGGGCATTTTACATCAAACAAAAGTTCCTCCGTAGTTACCATACTTGACTGGCGATGGATTTATTTACACAGTCCAGTGCAATGTGCCAGATGTATGTTTTAATATGTTTTTTTTTAGTTCTCTCACAATGCAGAAAAATGACATCCCATTACTAGTTCTATGCAGTTTTTTAAGAAAAAAGTTTTCCTGCTTGCATGCTAACAACCATTTGATTTGAGTGTATTGTTGATGTATGCTATCAGCCAATAATGCAATGCACAAAGGAAATGGAGGATCTGCTCTTAATTATATGTATATATTATATGTGCAACTACAACTTCTTTGCGCCTTTTTTTCTTTGCCCCTTATCTACCTATTTATCTTTTTTATCTTTTCTACCTCAAGTATTTTATTCTATTGTTGTATTTTATTCTATTGTTGTATTTTATGCTATTGTATTTTTATTATATTTAAATGTGCCTGGCTGCTATGACGACCCAATTTTCCTTCAGGGATTAATAAAGTCTATCTATCTATAGTACACACAATATACAGTACAATAAGTATTCACTATAAAGTAAGACATAGCATAAATGTATGCAGGTGTGGTCGTGGGTGGAACAAATCATGTTATCTGAAAACTCGATAGATAGATAGATAGATAGATAGATAGATAGATAGATAGATAGATAGATAGTGATGAGAGGTGCAGTAGAGCAGTGTTTATGCCCTATTGGTCTGATTTACCATCCTCCATACAGCAGGCTACATTATTAACATAAATGTGGATAAAGATGCTTGCTCAAGAGCACATGTGAAGCCATATAAGGGTGAGTTTGGTACCATCAACATAAGATAGCTGGCACAGTCAGCAGCAGCACAGAGAGAAGCAGTGAGAGGTTGAGGGAGAATGTGTAAAAAGAGACACTGACCTACAGCACCCCGTGGTCAAAGTCCCACTCCGACCTTGGGGCACACACTCACACACACACAGATTTCAATGCCAACAGCAATTAGACTCCGCTCAGGGTTCCTCCTGTTCATGGTGAACCTGTGCCAAGCGCTGGTGCCCCACCCACATCTATGTAGCAGCAGGCTTGCAGCTGATTGGCTGCACCTCTGGGTCCTACCAGTAACACTGCACCTGATAGGCTCTTACAGTCGGCCACTAAAACCAGTGCTTGCATCCCTGAGACAGCTGTGTCTGGATGCTGTAATGAACACCATCGGCTGATTGGCTCTCAGTGGGGAAGGTGTGTGCGCGTGCATGCGCATGTGGGATTTGTCTATGTGCGCGCACAGACATAGGTATCCTTAAGAGCATCAACCACATGTGCTTGCTTTGTAAACCCAGCGGTAACAAATGTGTCCCAATTAGGCATCACGATGCTTATAACAATTCTGCACGTGTAGTCTGGTTTCCATGACAACACCTCTTTTCCTCTGCAGACAACCTCCACGTGACACATCACAGAGCGAGCTGGAGTCAGAGATGCAAGCATCAAAGCCCCATGGCTGTGGAAATCTTAATGTGCTGCTCTCAGACCAGCCGCTCCTCCTCTTAAAGGTCCGTATTCTGTCGGCCAACAGGTGAGCTGCAGGTCAATAACAGCGCGTGTTCCTCTGGTCCACCTTTTGTGCTGCGGTGACATGCACACCGCAGGCCTCTGAGTTGAGCTGCGCCGATGAGCCGCACAGTGTGCCCGTCAATGTGATGTCCTGGCTGCTCTCCCTATATCCTTTAATATCCCGCAATAATGCGCAGCGGAATCACAGCAGTCTGCGACTTATTGTGCAGAGAAAGAGCAACGCATGCTTCTGCTTACCTCATCTTCCTCCCCTGCCCGTTTGAATGAGATGAAGAAGGGTTTCTGCCTGCTCAGTGCTTTGTCCTTGAGTTGAGTTCTAGTTAAAAAATGATCCAGATCTACCAGCTCCGGGTGTTTTAATAAAAAAAACAACAACAGCGATGCTGCCAGCGAAGCCTGCAGCCGGCTGGATGTGCAGATGTTGAGGGTGGGAAAAGGCGAAAGGGTGTGGAAAATGCTACACGGATGGCCACAGTTTTCAGGTCTGTCTTTTAAAAAGAAATAATTGTTCTCCGGTGTCGTGTCAGGCGGCCGGTGGTTCGGTCGAAGCCATCTCAGAGGGCGGCACGCCGCTGTCCGCAGGACGAGAAGCCGGGCGGAGTGGCTGACAGCGGCTTCTGTGGTGCCATCTTTTCCTCCCTTCAACCACTGGGAGGTTGGATGGAGAGAGAGAGAGAGAGAGAGAGAGAGAGAGAGAGAGAGAGAGAGAGAGAGAGCAGGCTGCTGAAATATTTAAGTCTCGGTGGTTTTGCTGCACGGTAGCGCCCTCGGTCTGGTGATGCAGCTACCGTGCAGGCAGGTATGGAAAACCAACGCACACCGTCTTCTTTGAGAATAAGTTAGGTAAAAATGAATAATAACAATAATAATTATGTGTCTTATTTTGTATCTAAAAAAATAACACACATGCTGTTCTAAAATAATCAGAATACTTTTATTCCCCAGCAAAACAGTTTCAGAGGAATATTAGTGATATGCTTGGATATAAAATACCACGATTACCACAAATACTTTAAGCCTTTAAGACCCTGCAGAAATAGTATTATATTATTGTGTGTGTGTGTGTGTGTGTGTGTGTGTGTGTGTGTGTGTGTGTGTGTTATTTCCTTCCATCTCCATTTCCATAATATATAATATATACATTTACTGAGTTTAAAGTTAGCTGGTTTGTCTTCAGGCCCTATTTCTTCTTCTGTGATATTTCACTCTCAACTTAACAACACTACTGCTGCTGTACAGAACTACACAGTATTATATGTAGAAGTAAACACGGTGATACTGTATATAAAAGGACAGACACACACAAACAAACCTGCCATTCGCCAGGATCAACTAGCTAACATCTGTCTTTGCCTGCAACATCCAGCTGTTGTTTCCTCACATGGAGGACAGACAGATTCAGTTAAATCTCCACTGAGGACCTGAGTTTAAACTGTGCTGTCTACTTTTTAGTAGCCAAAGCAAGTCTATCAGGTTCTTTACTGGTCCTGAAAAGTCTCCATTGGAGTTTTTAGCCCCAATGGCCCACAAATCTATCAATGTCTACTGATATTTGAGTGAAGTGAAGAGATAAGTTGGGTGGGTGCTAATAATTTTAGGGTGTTTTGCATCAAAACAACGAAAAAGGTTTCACCTAATATCCTGCAGACCTCTCCCTGTGGATTGCCCATATGTTTGCTTTGCACGCCTTTTTTGTTCAAAGCTAGCACAAGACAGAATAACTGCCAACAAGTGTTTCATTATAATAAAATGTATTTAAATGTATGCTTTTTGTTTTGATTTGATTTATAAACACAGCTGTTAAATATCCCACTGCACCATTTTATCATAATGCAGGCTCATTCTACATCTGAAGCATTCAAATCAAACCTGTAGCAGTGTCGCCTTCTTGCCAGCAGAGGTCCTCCTTATGTCCAAAGAGCACAAGATTTTCCACTGTGGTTCATACAGTAGTGTGAATCCACTCTGAGGTCATACCGGCTGAATATTGGCTCAGGAAACATTTGAGCCCTTGTTGCAAAGAAACTAAATTTATTTTAATTAGTTTATCTGGATTTGGTGCAACTTTAATCCCCATGTGATGTTACATTTCTCTGAGGATCACTGGTATCCCTGTTCGAGTCTATGGCCTTTATCTCCACAGGAGGGCGCTGAGGCTGTGGACACTTACTTCAATATGCCTCACACAAGTCATCGATATCGCTGTTATTATATTTCCAAACAAGGCTAAAAGAGTTTCTACATTGTCAGGATTTATGTTTTTTCACTTACTGTGATGCATTTAGTCTGGAAGCAGCATAGATCATTGGAACATTACAAGCACCTGCTACAATAATAGGAACAATGTGCTGAGTAACAATAATATACGAGAACATTTCTGATACAATCTATCACAATCAGCTTGAGAGTGAATCAAATTTTGTGGAGGTTTTCTCACAGTGGGAGTGGAAATGTACCAGGCACAGCTCTGTTTTCCATAAGTCTTCATTTGACTGTTTATCCAACTGAAAAGGTCACAGCACGTGATTTCCACCCTGCACATAAACACACTCACACTTTCATGATTATAGTTTTTTTTATTATTTGTTCTGAACTAGAATGAGCCTTTTTAACTGGTACATCCTGTGTTGAAGTGGAACATCTATTACAAAACTAGAAACATCACAGCTCACAGGCATGAGACAGACTCAGTGACACACGCTCACTGACGTCAGTTCCCCCTCGTCCATCACACAGTCAGTGCTCAAAGACACCTACAGACACACATCTTTACTTAAAAACTCAAAACTTCACATACATAGTGACAGAGAGAACGTTTACAGTAAACACAGGCATTCAATGAAACAATACGCAGGTACTAGGATGAGAGAAATGGATCAATGACTATAATGAGGCTAAAAATGCTTTAAAGCTTTCATACTATGCTTTAAATAAATAACACTGTCATAAAACACTGTATTGACATTTACTCAAATGTTTCAAAATGCTGTAAGTGCTCAAGTTGTTGTACATACACAATTGCAACAAAGTCAGGATGACCAACAAGGAAGATTGGTGTATTCATCCCCATTTTAAAATCAATTTCTTGTTTTTTCACCATTGGAAAAAAGTCTTTATTTGCAGTTTCTGTTCAAGTGGTTTATTGAGGTTTAAAATAATAAGTTTGGGGTTTAGTAAACTCGATTGCAAGGACACACTTGCAGTAAATCAGTCGCTATCCACTTGCCTCAGTAACAAATCTGAAAGTACTGGCTTGGTGATTTGAGGGGGCTCTTGTAGCTGGATGTGTCCTGTGCTGAGTTGTGGCTGCTTGTGGTTTTCTGCAGGTTTAAGGTGAAAGTGGGGGTTGTTTTCCTCGCCTGTGGCTTGTTCCCCCCCTTCGCCTGCGGTGTGGCCGTGGGCCCGCTGTTGGCAGGCACCGTGGCTGCAGATTTGGCGGTCTCAGAAGACCCAGTCTTTCTTGTGAGGGGGCTCAGATAGATCTGCATAGTCACTAAGTGAAGTGGTGAGATGAGGTGAGGAGGGTGAGAGATTAGAGGGGAGGTTGGCCAGCAGGAAGGGGTTAGAATGGTTAAAGGGTTGGAGGTGTGGATATTTAAAGTTCAGGTTAGGAGGTGTGTGTGTGGGGGGGGGGGGGACATAAAATGAGGGTGCAAGGGTGAGGGCAGGCACACAAGTCATGGTGAGATGTGAAAAAAATGAAGGATGGGCATAAAATAACAACTCAAACACAATTCTGTCAACCTTAAAGAACTGAATATTATATTGTCTGGTATGAATGTATTATTTGGTATGAATCCTACCTTTGCAGTGCGTCACACGCCTTGTCCCTGCACCAAAATAACACACAAACAGAGAGGTTAGATTCATTTCATCAGCAATCAACAGCACTGATATGTCAGTCTTTTGCTAAATCAATGTTGTTTTATTTATACAGGTTATATATACAAGTCAGCAGCTGTTTCACATTCTTGTTATGAGGCTGAATTGCTGCCAGATACAGGCTGGAAAAAACATCTGCAGGGATACAGGGAGAGTGCTCACTTACCTACACTTACTGCAGCCTCCTTGGACTTGCTGCTGTTATAAGGAGAAAGAGAGAGAATTCGCCATAAGAGACAGAGAGAGACACGAGAGGGAGAGAGAAACGTAGAAAGTAAAAAGATGCAAAAGGTTGCCTGACAAAAGGTTTTCGTGAGAATGAACACATCAGTTTCAGGTTGACAGTTCAGCGTCCCATGAGCTGGCTTTGAGAATGTTATCTTCCTCTGTGGTTTGAGGTGTTTTTAAAACAGGATGACGGGTTTGGAAATAACCTTGATTTGATTTGAGAGATCTGATTCCAACTTGATCGGCCAGGAATAACTGGGTCGCCCCAAAATCAATGGAAATGTATATATGGCCTGGTTTACACAAGAAGTATAAAAATAAGACTGACATTTACGAGAGAAAAGGGAAGGATTTTAAGATATAAGCGGTGAGACTGTGTTGTGAAACTACATTTTTAGGAATATATTTGTCTGTATAATGATAGACAGAAAGATAACACAGAAAAGGCATTTTTCTTGTGTATGGAGGTTTAGAAATGCAAGAATAGCTTCTTACCCTTCCTGAGGTTTCTTACAGGTGGAGGCTGCAGAGGTGGGTCGTGATTTAGTGGTCTTACATGGACTGTCCTTCACACTACCTAGTGGGCTTTTCACACCACTGGAAGGGAAAAACAAGTACTGTAAGGTCATGATGTTTTTTACCCAAATGGAAATTCAATGACTGACATGAAACTCTCTCAGTCCACTGAATGTACAAAAGTTTCAGCCATGAGGATGAAGAATTGAAGAAAAATATGGGAGGTTTAAGAAAGTGCACTTCCCTGAAACTACAGAATGTGTTTAGTTCAAACTTTTAAAAATCACTTGGTGGTGCCTTTGTGTGCAGTTTTATTTTATTTCAGTACTATGGAAGACTTGACTTGACTTGACTTGACTTGACTTGACTTGACTTGACTTGACTTGACTTGACGTGAAGACAAGATTTGAATCTTCTAAATAACTGAATACCTAATTGTTGAATCACTAATACTTAATATTGACATTTAAATACCATTAAATTGACTGCATTGAAACATTTTACTATGAAAACCATCTATCGAGTATTCACCCAGCCCATGGTATATAGTTTGAATTCCGCTTTTTGGAGTTTGCGGTTCACTTCAAGTATTCTTTTGGGGAAATTCAGCATTATATGGTATAATCAAAATTCTCAAATTTTCTGTGAAGTGAAGAAATTAAGTTTCTCAAATGGGACTGGTGAAATTTAAACACTAATAATTTAGGATGAAAACTTCAAACTTGAAACCATTAGGCTGGTAGCCCAGACACCTTGGAAACTTGACTTCTCAACCCGTCACAATGACCACTTTTGTTGGATGACATATTGTGCAAGAAATAAATGTGATTAATGATATTATTGTCATTTTAAGACCCTTTTATGCCACTGATATAATGACACCCTTTAAATAAATGAGCAATGACCTCTATTCAGACATTGGACCTGGAATGTAAAAAAAATATTAAAATATCCTCTGTCTGCAGAAATTGCACTGAATGAATATTAAACATTTGGCACAGAGAGTCATTCACTCTTTAACAGGCAATATAGTAAATGTAGGGAAAACGCTGCGGTTTGTTCTGGCATCATATTGGCTAACATGTTGGTGGTTTTCTGAAACAATAAGTCGATATTGTGATAATGACATATGATAAGTTATTCACGTTATTTTTGTGACAGACCTACATTACAGAATTATTCACATTTTACAATATTTAGTTGATTATAAAATTCTAATCATCGTGTCTTTAATTAACTTCCATATGGCAGCTTCTGGCTCAATAACTACTTTGAACCCTAAAGTTCCCAGTGTTTCCCTCAGGTACGTTCATATTCAGCTAAATTGTTTTCCACTCAGTTCCACACAAGCAAATCGCGCATTTTACTGTAAAATCTGAGATGATTTTGTATTTTCACAGGTGCAACATGTCAGATAGCGAAACGTCTTATGCATAATTTGAAACACATTTCCCTGGAGTTGAGCCTGACATATTTCTGGAAACTGCTTTAAAATTAAGTGCCGAACAATGCTTGGCTACAAACATGTAATTATAATGATGGAGCCACTGAAGTGGTCAGTGGGTTGTTTTACTTTGAATTCATGTGATAAATACATGCAAAAAACAATGAATGAAAACAGATGTGGTCACTTCTGTTTGTGAAAAGAAGGAATGGCGGACAGATGGGAAGTAACTGGAGGCAACAATAAAGAGAAAAAGGCAAAAGGAAGCAGATATGAATATGAGAGAGGGAAGACATAATATAAGAGGGTTAATTAGAGGAGAGAAAAGGTAAGATGAGAGTCACTTTTGCTAATAGTGATGATGATGATGATGATGATGATGATGATGATTCTCACTTCATCCTAGCACTGAATGGACAGCTTTAAGTGAATGGAGATTTCCCACTGTGAAATTGTATCAGCACAGCCCAGATATAGCAGTGGAGAACCTAGCATGCTCTGACTAAAGCTATTTAATGGCAGTAACATTTGAAAGGTAATTGAGAGGAAGACATCTGCAGAGAATGGTTTGCTGCTTTATTGCTTTGAAAAAAAACGTTGGAATATTACTGAGCACCCGTGTGCAGTGTTTCTTGGATAGAGTGTTTGCTGATTGCTTTTGCACATTTGATGATGAGAACTGACACTTTAGATCTGATACTGAAGCTTTATTGTGAGCTGCTTCATTAGAACTGTTTTCCATTAATACTGTGTGCAGAAGCTCTCTCTTTGCTTGGGTGTGTTTCATGACGAGTGCCGTCAGATATGAGAGGAATGTCATTGTGATTTGTTTTTCTCCCATTGAGAAATCAACAATTCAAATCTTTTTGTCAAATGTATCATATGATTTCTAAACTAATCACCTATTACTACTTCCAATAAAAACATAAAAACTCTCTTTTATATTACATGTAGATTCTAGACTGTCTCCTGACTGTCTGCCTGCAGACTGAGCAGCAGTGTTTTTACCTGCGGGGCGGTGTTGGGCTGTAGTTCCTGGCTGTGGCGCTGGAGGGCAGTGTGGTGCTCTTCTTCAGGGAGGCAGTGCTGGAGGTCACCATGGGCGGTCTGGAGGGCAGAGCCAGAGACACTGGCCTGGCTGTTGGGACACACACAAGGGGGTTAAGTATGATGTATGTGTGTTTGTGTGTGGTGGATAAAAGGTTGTACTTTCTGTTTGTGGAGATTGTTGTGTCTGCCCTCTTTGTTGTCTGCACAAATAAAGCCCCTTGATGAAAATAAAAATTGTATGCACATGTTTCTATGTAAATACATTAAGTAGAGAAATATTAGGACATGATATTCTGGATGTTTTTTTCAGGCTTTTAGGTTCTGAATATTTACTTAACTCACCTTTGGCACCCGATGGTCTCCTGCCAGCAGCAGCAGCTGCTTGGTACTCTTCAGAGATGTTAAGCCTCTTGAGGACGTCGGCCAGAGCCATCTTCAACAGCTGGATTTCATCTTCCTGCATCTGCATCCTCTGCTCCAGATAGGTCAGTCGGTCAGCCACGTCAAGGCCACTGGCTGCTGAACTGCGGTCATCTGAAGGAATAATAGAAAACAGGAGGTAGGTAGTAGGTAGGTGTGATAGATAGATGGCGTAACATGTTTACGCCAGTACACGGGGCAGTTATGTTGTATGCTTTTCAATATTACATAACTGATGGCATGCATAACGATAGTGCTGGTCCATTAAAATAAGCAGAGGAATCTGAGGCAGCCAATAAACATTTGTTAGCCTCTAAAACATGTCTAAATATGTTTAAATATGCAGATTTCCCAAAGCAAAAGAAAGAGCAAACACAAAGAGCAAGACCTTGTTAACCAACTGAGGGTGACAGAGACATACACACACAGAAGGAGAGAAAGATGCCAAATAGAAATGAATGTGCAGCTGACTCATACTGAAACCATATCACCATTTGGTGAGAGAAAATATTGAGTATGAAAGAAAACGATCCTCCAGTCACAAAGTAAAAAAGTGCTATTCAACTGTCCACTCACTAAAAAGCCTTTAATGTAAGAGAGGTGAAGAAATAAAATATTTTAAAAAATACTTCTTGAGCATTATTTACTTGATGAAATTCTACCATAAATGTTCTTTTAAGGCTCATCTCTTCAATCAGAAAACAGAATAAGCTCTTTAACATCCCCTGTGCATATATAGCAAAAATCAAGCTAATGAGGTCACAGCACAGCTGGACACAGCCGATCATCCACACTGTCATCACACTGTCAGCAGCATGTAAACAACGGTAGCTGAGCACAATCTCCAAAACACTTTCACTGTAATTTCTCTTTCAATCAATTATAACTTTTACTGGCCATCATCAGTCACAACAGTACAGAGGTGGATACCGTGGGAGACACTGGACACGGATGAGCTGTCAGGGTGTCTCTGCTGGCCGGTGGGGCCCTCCTCCACTACACCAGACGTCTTCCTCCTCTTCCTCTCCTCCCGCGAGCACACTCTCTCGCTCCTCTTTCCTCCTCTGGTTCCAGTCAGACAGGCCGGCTCTCCCTCCATCTGATTTTGATCCACTGGCTGGTGTCCACTAAGATATCATCTTCTTTGCTCCACTTAGGTCACACAAACACACTCACACACAAACACACTCACAGAGCAGCGTTTACAGTGTGTTGTCCGCCTCTGTTTACAGCATCCAAGCTGTATTACAGTCACTGCAGCAGGAGATGAGGTTACTGATGTTTTGATCCTCCCACGTTTCCTTGGTGGTCGCCTGACATGCTCTGGGACGCAGTGATGTGTATGACAGCGCTTAAAGCCCCTTTGCTCAGGGTGTGTGCTTCTACAAATGTGGGGGTAGGGTTGATAATGCTTAAAAACTCAGCAGTCGTCCAATTCAGCCTAAATTGTCTGTACGTGTGTGTGGGTGTGGGTGTGCAGAGTACAATGATAATCCCTCAGACTGAGCCTCTTTGACCCCGCCCCCACACATAAGCCCCATGTCACTATGAGAGATGGAGACACAGAGAGGAAACAGCAGAAATAAACCTGAAATGTGGTCTGTTGTTGTGTTGTGCTGAAGTAAACAACTTGTACATCCACAGAGTTACTGTGCAGCCACTGCGCAGGTCAGTGCCAGTAATAGGTAGGATTAGGAAACTAAAAACCAATGCATGCTTTACATCCACCAACAGTAATGCTTTGTAATATAAAGCATTATTTCTCAGCAGTTTTCAGTTAAAACTGCTTATGAGCAAAAAGGTATTAGTTAAACAATCTATGCCCGTGTGTATTTTTTACCTGAACTAAACCACTGATTTCAAACCAGTGTACCCCAGGGCATATTTCTGCAGTTGCTATAATAAGAGATAACTAAAACTGATGTATAAATGGAAGACATTTTTTCTAAAAGTTGGATTACAGTAACAGATTAACTAGTTTGATAAAAATTGGATAAATTATTTATATATTTAGCTAAAAGTTATTGTTAAATTGTTGAAATAATTGCTAAAAGCCTGATGGATAAACACGAACATGGAGAAATGGAAGGAATAGTTGGCTAAAAGTAATGGATAATTGAAAAACCCATCTTCTATTACTCCAAGTAGTAGTAGTTCAGAGTTTGTGTCCATTAAGCTTCAAAAACCTGCTGTATGGTTTATGAAATGCTTCAATTTTTTTCTCAGTTCTTGGTAAAATGCTTGAGATGTCAGTTTTTCCTCTCCTAGCAAAGATGATCTGCTGTGGGCAAAGACTTTCAGTATAATCATTCAAGCATGGAGCCAACAGTAATCTCATGAAGAGTGGTGACTCTGTGTAGGCCAGTGATTTTCTTTTTCTCCTCTTGTCCCGGCTGTGACATCATCCTCGTGCCACCTCCACACACCCCATATGGGATTGGGATTAGAATAGCACATAATCCCAGTGCTGTAAAAGGGAATTAGCAGCCCAAAGCTCAATCTCTGCACTAACTCAGCTATACAAAGAACAGGCAAGCTCCCTCGTTGCCTTACGTGCAAATGTAAACACACGTACAAACATATGCATTAAACGATGACTCACACATTCACACATGTACACAAAGCTGGGCTAGCTGTAACCGTTTTGGAAGTCATATGCCTTTTATGCATACGCAAAATTAAGATACATTAAGACATAGAGAATCAGAGGAGTGTTTTAATCTCTGCTCGCAGATGGTGTTTCCTGAATGAAGGAACAGCATCTGTCTGCTCATATCAGCACCCTGCATGCTGACACATACAGTGTGCACAAGCAATCCTTCACATATTAGTCCACTGATATCCCTGAGGGGACAGGGCATTTCCCTAAATCTCTTCAGCTGACGCACATTCCACAACACCAACCATTTGACTGTGTAGTTAGTATCATTGGACAGATATGCTGGACTAAGTGCTTGTTCAAATAAAGCAGCATTGTACAGGTTAAGTGAAAATCTATAGTGCCAATGTCAAAGAAGACAAGAGGAAAATGAAATTTGGCTTTTCACTTTCTGTATTCATTAGGTTATCAACAGGTTTTGAAGGGCTGTATAGAGTTCAAAGTGTAGTCAATGATTAGGACTCTTTCAGATCAAAACCAGTTGGCGTTTTAATCAATATGGCAGAATAAATAAAGGCTATTTTCTCCTTGCTCTCCCTAAAAGTGCCTTAAGGAGGTTTTCTTTCCTGTCATCAGGTTTTGAAGGGGGAAAAAAATCTTTTTTGTTTTTGAGTTATGTAAAATGTTAATAAAAATAAATCATATGAAGTCCTGATACAAACCTATTGTGGCATTAAAGTCCTTAGTAGTTACAGCACACAAATAAAACACAGGATTAGTTTCTCTTAGTCTGTAATTAATTCACATTGCTGATTTCTGTCAATGAGTGTTACAGAATGTCTGCTTTTTTTGATACAGTGGAGGTTTTTCTAAACAACTTTTTTATAACTTACTTCACCTGTTCTTTTCCTTGTTTGAACAGCTCTGTTCAAACCTGCAAACCTGTGCAAACACACATGTACACAGCTCTTTTTATTGATTAGAAGTAAAGATGCACTTCATTCATGCAGAATACTTTAAAGAGTCCTTGGTAGTATTTTAAGATAAACATCTCGGACAATTTAACTTTTTAAACATATATCTTTTAAGGCTGAAAGCACCTCAAACAAAACTGCTCTTAACCTAACTGTATTGGGGTCAAGTCAGAAATTGCAGTGAGCAAATAAAACCAAACTATCTGCATGGCTTCATACCACAAGAGCTAAATGAGAAAATATCTGTCTGGCTCAGCCCTGTACCTGTCATGAAGTCAGTGTCAGGTGCCAGCAGTGAGTCACTGTGGTAGCTCCCCTTCAGTGAGGGTCTCCTCAGCAGGCCATGGTCCGTCTCCTCCATCCCCAGACCCTGATCCAGCAGCTCCTCCATGTGTGAGTCCCCCTCCAGTGTGCCCGCTGCCATGCCCCTGACAGAGTGTGTCAGAGTGATCCTGTGTGCTCCTACTAATGTCTCCTACGCTTCACTGCTGGGTTAATTCACCTTCCCTAAACCACCAGTGGCCACCACCTCTCGCTTTCCCTCCCTCTCTCTCCCCCCGCTGTCCCGTGAGGAGCGTATGGAGGGTGAAGAGAGATGGGTGATGTCACTCAGAGGACAGATTAAGGAGCTGGTAAGCCATCTGAAGCTCAGGGGAGGACAAAGCTATGAGAGAATAGGAGTGTGTTGTGTGTGCATGTGTGTGTATAGACAGCGGTCAGGGAGGCTTCAGACAGGGAAAACATCTTCACATTAAAGGCCTCAAAATAACTTCCTGACAGATAAGTTGCATAACTCCTGTCTGCAAACATCTAGCTACTGCTTCAAGGAGGAAACGATGAGTAACAATTACTGACCTGTGTGCTGAGAAAACACACACTCCAGACAAAAAAAAAGAAGGAAAAAACACAGTAGGGTGGGACCATGCAATTTGCTGTTGCATGCAAAGTTGCAGACAAGCACACAATTACACTCCCCAAAAGAGCTTACATCAGGCTACCATCCGGTGTGGCCAGCCCTGGTGTACTGTAAGGATGATGAGATTCAGAGATTAGGGAGCAGAACTTGATTAATTATAGTCATCAAGAGGACAATAAGCCGGACATGGTAATTAGACCAACAGAGAAAGACAACAGGAGCAGATGAAAAGCCAGTTAGGCGATTGTGTCGGGGTCTCCCCCAGTGTAAGCTGGCGTTCTGTCTATTTTGCATTCGCTGGATTGATTTTTTTTTCTCCAGCAGATGCTTCTCTTTGCTGATGTGTCAAAGCTTTTTTTGGCCACATAGCAGATGTGCCAAAAACAATAAATTAAGATGTGGCAGAGAATATAGCTCACATTTAAAGGATGATGCAAGGGTGTAAATAAGACTCAATCAAACCATGACCCAATTGTAAATGTTTATTATTATCCAAGATCTACCTGTATACCTACCTATATAACATACTTGTACACACATTCCAGTAAATTATATACCTGTGCAAGTCTGTGTCTACATATATATATAAAATTCTTATTCTCAGTACTCACTCATGTAATTCCAGTGACGCACCTTGTTATACAAATACAATATACTTCATTCTAGACTTGCACTAACCATATACAGGTATTTTACTGTTGATTGTTTTTATTATGCATATGGTCCTGGTGTTTAATTATTTACATCATTATTTTCTTACCTACCTTGTTGAGCGTTCTTATGCTGTTTCTCTTGTGATTCATTCGTGACTTTGCTGTCTGAGAGCACACAAACATACAACAGTGGATAGCGTATAAATTAAATATGAAATAAATTGCAGTAAAGTACAAAAGTAAACCATTAAAGGTTCATTATTAATTAACATTTTAGGAGGATCTATTGTCAGAAATGTTATATAATATTTATAGTTTTCATTAGTGTATGGCCTTCACGAGAAAAGGCACCTCACTGGATAAAAAGGACATAAATATAGAATAACTATTTACCAGTATGTTCCATAGTAACCATGTTGTTTCAACCTACAGTGATAGGTTCCTATACACCAACAAGCAGCCAATAGTCCAATAGTCTTGTAGCAGACTGCCACACCTGAGAGGCCTCTGGGGTCAAAGTGTGTAACACGTTATATTATTATGAAACACTAATCGTCTGCTTTGGCCTCTGTTATCCATGTGTAACAGACACTAAGGCCCTGTGATGTATGTGCAAGTGTGTGCAAGTGTGTGCACGTCTGTGTGTGTGTGTGTGAGTGAGAGAGAGAGAGAGAGAGAGAGAGAGAGCTGGGCATTCCTAATGCTCTGAGGCCTGAACAGGGATAAAGGCCAAAGACAGATAATGACTCTGCTGACAGGGGACATGTGGGGAGAGGCAGGAGACGGTTGAAACATGTCTCCTGTTGTATTAAAATTACCAGATGACCATGTAATGTGTGTTATTTGGTACCAAAAAGAAAAATGTCAAAGAAGGTTTGACCCTGACCCATGCATGCTGTCTCATCACTGACCTCCTGTGGAGATTGTATAGCGTAACAGTTGCTTGCTAGAGAAACTTCACAGACTTCCTATTGATCACAGGTAGAGAGAACAGCTTCCCTTTGACACAGTATGTTATATAGAATAGAAACAACACAGCTGAAGAGGGTTAGTGCATACTTTGAAGTTAAATGTAATAAAGAAAGAGTCACACACTTTCACAAAGGACTTAAAATTTATAAATATTCTTTCAATGGAACATTAAATCAGTAGGGATGTTATACAATTCTTCCAAAAAAATCCAAGAGATTTTCAGAGAGCATGACAAAGTGACAATAATCTGATACACACATTGCTTCTCTACTCCAAAAATATCTAGACTTTTTACTGTATATCCCCCGTTTTTTCCAAATATATCAAAATATATGTCGACAATAAGCATCAATACAGACCACACAGAAAGCAGAATCTCATGGGTTGGTCGGGTGCTTTTGTGTTTTGACTCATTGAGTGAACACACTTCCTGTGTGGCATCAGTAAAGGTCACTCAGTGTTTGACCCCTGCCACTGTGGACGCCCTACGTTCACAGAAACCGACTTCTCCCCAGTGCTGGCCTTGCCTTTGTCGTTGTCATGGTAACAAAGGATGCAACTGTGTCCATGAAAAGCTGCTAGGAAATTAAGTCACATAAATAATAACATACAATCTAATCCATGCGTTTTTCAAGGCTGGCCAGCACTCGGGAGGATGACTCATGGCAACTTCCTTACTCAGCTTTCTTCATCTCCTTTTCCAGATAGTTCCTGCATCACTCTCAGAAGCTGAAAAGATGAGGATGCAAGGAAAGAGGACAAGGAGAGGAAGCCGCTGAACAGCATCGGGATGTGGCCATAAGACAGTTCTGCACACATAGGATTCCCGCCCTCTAGGGGACAAACACCATCAATGCACATCTGGGAGAAAGGCAACGGTGGCCAGCTGATTTGGATGGTGGGAGAAGCTGTTCAGCAAATCCTCAATTTGAGGATTAATTATTTAACTTAATTGTGTTGAAATTCTTAAATTTTCAATCAGCCCCCTGGAAAACCTTGTAGCTTTAACAGCTTAAATAAGGGACCGTAAAAAAATGACTGGGGGTCATAAAAAAAGCAAGAACCTTCACAGCAATATTAATATTTTAATTAACATTCGCCGACTGCGGTGCCTGCCCTTTAATATCTCAAAATAACATCTTTATGGAAAACAGGCCCAGGCACCGGCTCTTTTAGTGCTGATAGACTTAAGCTGCGCAATATTTTTGCCCCAGAATGAATGAAAAAAAAATAGCATTTTTAGGTGAGAAAATGCCCAAAAAAATGCATTAAGCAAAAATCCAAAATATGTAACTTTACCTTTTCTCCCTGCCCCACCCTCCCTAGTAATTTTCATACAGTCCCTTATTCCTGACTCTTACTGTAAATCCTCTATAATATTGGGCTAAATTTAGAGAAACTGCTCTTAGATCAGCGCCTCAGGGGATCTTCTACCGAGAGCCCAGAGGACGTCCCGTCCTGTCTCAGGTGTACAGACTCTGTCTCTCCCCTAATTGGACAAATCAATAAAAGCTCAGGTGACCATGTTGCCACGGCATTCTCCCAAACGTCACACTTAAGGTCAGTCAGGTTAGGCAGGAGAGCTAGAAGTCGCCTCTTCCCATAGGTCTCAGTTCAGATTTGACTTTTTAAGTATCTCAAAGGGGAATTGAATCAAACCTGTGTCTGTGATTTGTGGCCACTTCTGCTCTCCCGTCTGCCAGGGTGTGCTTTGGTCTGGTCTCCCCCTGACAACTAAGTGATATAAACTAAACAACATTTACATCTCTGTCAACAACCACCACTCAATCATTTAATTTCTAAACTTATAAGTTACAAATAAACAGAAATCATTTCTATCCTGGAGCACAAAGAAACAGGATATAGTTAATCAATTAGACACAGTATTTCCAAATAAGTTAAATTGAAATCTTAATATATTGTATTGTTTACTCCATTTAAATATTTTTTTTTTCTTACTTTAAATATAATTATTACAGATCTTGCAAAAATACTACACTGTGCATTGGCTGTCTGCTTGTTTAAAGAGTGCCCGGTGCTTTCTGGGTTCAGATATGTACACTTCATTAGAAATCACCTAGAAGGGAGATTCTCACTGCCTATCATCTACAACCTTAAGTCATATAACGGCATCAAGTCCCTTCATTCTCCTCTTTCTTTCATTTGGTCAAATCTCAATTAATCCTGCGATGATTTAAAACTAATTTGAAATAAAATAAAAAATAATGCATATTCTTTTCTTGATTTGTTAAGTTCATTTTTCCAAAAATAGTAAGTCTAAAAATATATTGCATATGCCATCTTAGGAAATCGACATAATAAAATATTCTTACTAAGGAGAAATTGTAAAGTAGGAGAATATATATTACCTCTTTGAAGAATCTGGGCGTTAATAGAAATAAAAAACCCAGTGATCAGGTTTTGATTTTGTTTTGGGTTAGGAGTCATGCTGCTCAAATAGAGAAAAAGTTAAAGATGGCTTTAGAGTGTTGAAAACTTTTACGGCTTATCCAATGTTGAAGAACAGGGCGTTTGCTGTGTAGGAAAGCAATCGGGTACTCTTTATGTTTTTAAAAAAGGTACACACACTCCGACACTACTCGTTTTCTGAGTGACAGTACAACACTTGCAGGTTAAAAGGCAATAAATGAGTGTGGTCTGAAATCCACCACAACTCAATTAAGTATCAAATACCCTCCCACGCATTCCCACCCACAAACCCCCACCCTCCCCCACCCTTCAATCCACATACACGTCTAGCATGGTGCTACGTTTGTCCACACAGCGCGTCAGGCCTCCATCCAGGTGCCTTTTTGAAATCTAATCACATTAACAGTGTGGATACATACATTTATATACTGTATATTTATATAAGTATGTCAGAGCTGATTGAAAAATCAAATGGAATGACTCTAGTAATATATATATATACTGTATACTGTATATATTCCATGGGATTCAACAGGTTGTGAATCAGGTAACATGACGAACACGCTGGCCAATTCCTCTACTGGCGAGAGAATAGAAATATACAGTTTGCACTGACAAAAGCAGCCATGACGTCCTTACTGTTTCCTTCTCTACGAAACACACACACACACACACACACACACACACACACACACACACACACACACACACACACACACACACACACACACACACACACACACACACACACACACACACACACACACACACACACACACACATATAAATGATACACAGTATGTTCCCCCCGGTAAGATATTAGTAGCTGGAACAAAAAACAAAACATAACATGTTTGTTGTAATTAAGGAATGGATTAGTGCAATATAATAAGGGAAGGGGGGCAGAAGTGCTGACAAGGAGAAGAAGTACGAGGGAGGAGACGGGGATTCTGGCTTATGTGACATCCTTTGGTTTGTCTTCGTAAGGGGAAGGTTGGGGGGGGGGGATGTAGAATGAGAACGGTGGAGCAGACATTTCTGAGACATTGCGACGTTTCCGGACGCAACGCGAGCAGCTAGAAGCACAGCAGATTCCGACCAGCGTGGAGCTGCAACAATGAGCCGATCAACTGAAAACTGATATGAAACCATTATTTTAGTAATTTCTTCAGCATAAAATGACAAAATGTTTGTTTTTCTCTGTCATACATGTCAGTTAACTGAATATCTCTGGGTTTTGGTTGGTCTATTTTGTGAGATTTTACTGAGAAAACGATTAATCAATAATGAAAATAAATCATTGGTTGCGGCCCTAAACCAGCGCATTTTGTCCAGTGATCATGTCATAGCTGTCAGTCAGTCGGCAACACAATCCTTTTTTTTCTTGGGACTACATTACACCCGCTCTACCACTTCCTAGTTGTATGTGGTGAGACTAGCTGCCTAGAGCTCTACCTGCAAGTCATAAGGCAAGTCACAGGGAACATTAAAGGTGAAAAAACATAAAGAAAAACAACCAAAAAACAATCAACAGTGGCCCTCATCTTGATAAACCTTCACAGGGCTCAGGAGTATTTCAACTCTTAGACGAGCCTCTCCAGAGCAAGGCTCCTTCAAGTCAGGACTGCGGCTGAGATGTTAGTTAGAAAATCCACTGGGGCTTTTGTCATGTGTGTGTTTTCCCTAAATAAAATCAGTTTTAGTGACCTGACCTGCAGTTTAAGAAGCCCTGCTCTAGATTCTAGTTTGGTAAAGAAAGATCTGTCTCACAAACCCCCTACAGGTACAGTATTTTAGTTTGTGCAGAGCATCACGCGAGATGAAAATGTATCTGTCAGTGTCAGTGCGCTGTGGCACACAGAAGTGAGTACAGGGGGTAGAGAGCTCCGCTTCCTCTAAAGCTGCTTGTTTGGTTTGATTGCCTGAAAGCCTTCTAAAAAACCATCACACATACCCACATTTATCCATTTATCCACACTGACAACACCCACTCTCCCACTCTCTCTTTCGCATGCACACACATGTGAGACGAACTCAAATCAGGAGAAATAAGACGACACTCTCCATTAGCTCCTCCTTCCCCCTGGCTGGTTGAACGCCGTTAACATTGAGCTGACAGTGCAGGCTTGTGTTCCCCCGGAAGAACCTTAGCGCCAGACCATTCCTGAGCCACTGGCTTACAAATGGAACAAACATGATTGTTGTGCTGAGATGCTTTGGGGGAAACATGGTCCTGACAGTAGCCCAGTTCAGTCTGGTGTTCAGAATTCCTGGCAGGCACGCAAGCCTCCATGTAACCAAGTGGAAGCTGAAAAGTCCCAACCTGTGAATGAATTCTCCCTTCCTCCCTCTTCCTAAACCAGGAAATATTGGTGCTCTGACTGAGATGGATTAATCTATCACATTGTAACTCCTCTGTAGTCATCTAAAGGGATCTGTGCTTCATAATGTGTCACAAACATTTTTTGCTTCATCTGTCCCTCTCCAAAACCAGCCTCACCCAGTCATCCCCCTTCCCTATGATCATGAGCGTCCCCAGCAGAAAAGACAGGGGTGTTCAGTAACCCCCCACACTTCTGTGCAGGAGGGGGAGCCATGTTATGATTAATTCATGGGCGCGACACCCCTACTACCCTCTACTGCAGGTTCTTCAGGATGCGTCCGTAGCGGAAGTCGTAGACGTGCCGGCAGAGATACACCAGCTCAGGGTCGACATCTGTGGGCACACAGCGGTGGGAAGGGGGGGCGAAGTCGGGGCGGCAGGGCACCATGCTGGCACTGCCAGGTGGGGCGCCTTCGGCACGCCGCTTCACCAAGGCACAAAATCTACCCGGACACACGCAGAGAGAAAAAAAAATCAAAAGGTGACACTACATTTATTTGTGCTACTGTACCGCTGTGTAAAAATAACATAAGCAATTGGACTCAAAATGAATATTTACAAATGATGTCTAAGCAAATGCTCATGTCCTAGTGCTCCCAAGTATTCATTAACAGTTGCAGTGTCACTGATGTGTGATAAGAAAGTCAGAAAAACAGGCTTCCACATATCTCAGGAGCTGAGGTGTTAATTAAAGGAACGACTGCAACCCATGTAAAAAAGACTTCCTGCTAACGACTATCACTGAGGTGTATTTCTGTCTGTTTGTGTGCGTGTGTGTGTGTGTGTGCGTGAGTACCTACCTACAGTACTGGGCTAGTGGGAGAACATAGCATCTGTCTTCTATGCAGGCCACACTATTTTCATCCTGATGCCGAGAGGCGAAAATCTCATTCTGAAACCACAGTGGGTGTACAATGTCACATCCACACAAGTGTGTTGGCTGAATACTGAAGAAATGACAACACTAATTGATCATGTGCAATGGTATTATGTATTTCTACGCGAAGTGCCACCACACAAGAAAAATCCTGCTGCACTCAACACATGCTAGACATCCACTGTGAATAAAAACATGAGCAGTGTTGCACGTTCTAATAGTGAAATTGCTCTCGTCTCTTACTCTGTTTTGTGACTGAGTAAGAGACTGAGGTGGCAGAAACATCATCATTTTGGTGCTGCGGTTACAGTAAAGAGCTAACCAACTATCAACAGTTTTAGGGCTGCTAAAAGAAACATAATGATGTCTCCAGCAGCAGCAGCGAATGTCTCAATATATGTGCATAGAAGAGAAAGTTTTTGTTCACCTCCTCTTTGCACATAATTCAATCAGGACACCTCAGTATGTATTATCACTTCCTCTTAATGACTAAATAATTGATAATCATAAAATTTCTATTATAGCGCACCAATAAATATGTGATGCAAGTAATGCAAATGACAATACTCGCCTTGATTTAAGGAATTAATCGTTCCGCCCACATTTAAGTATTTCAACTTTAAATTGTTTCTAAAACACTGTGGGACTGCCAGTACCTGCATATATTGTGCAGCTAATGTCACTTTGTCTAAATCCCAATGTTTTCTGTAAAAAACCTATGGAGATCAAAAAGGTGTTCTATATTACACACATACATGACATTATAAAATAAGTAATCATAAAAACATATACAGTCAAAATACATAATTTACCCATAGAAATGTGAAACATTTGGTGTTAGTTTTACATCCTGTGTCTTTTCACTATAAAAGAGCTTATTGCAGCTATTTTTTATTTTATTCCAGCAGTTTTTTCTAGTCCTTTTTTTCCAGAGTCTGTTTTTATACCACATTGCCACTTTTTCCCCAATGACAATTTTACTTATTTTATAAAGTTGTGTGACTGGCTGTCTTAATGAAATAAAACGTCATTTGGAAATCAGATCAATATAAATAAAACTGCTGGAATGACATTTCATAATAATACAATAACAATAGTTTTAAAAGTGTCTTGGATTGGATTAAGATTCCATATTGACATTATATATATCTTGTCTCACATGATTAGTTATATGATAACTGTCTTCAATAAAAAATATATATATTTTGGGTAACAGGACTAATTAAGTAACAATGTTTATCAACACATGTTTTCATTCATTGTCAAATACCTCTTCAGTGTTATCCTGCAAACTGTCATTTAATCACTGGGCAACATTAAATCGTTCGTCTCACCTCACAGTGTGCGCTGGGATCTCGGCCTCCCTGGGTGTGCTCAGGTCGGTAGTACCAGAAAAGACTCATCATCAGCTCTCCTGAGGAGGCAAATTGAGCACACACACACACACACACACACACACACACACACACACACACACACACACACACAAGTAAACAATTCTGGCCATATGTCCCTTTGTCCATCCATCCATGCACACACACCACCATATCTATCCATGATCTCCCCCTCCTCGTCTACTTTACCTGTTTTGGGGTCCTCCCACAGTGCTGATATCTTGGCAACATATGGGAGGGATTTCTTCCTGGGGCCTGATCGTAGAAGCACAGTGTCTCTGACACGTATCACTTCACCATCCCTCTCGACTCCTTCATAACACTGCCGCAGGGCTGTCTCATCCTCTCCCTGAGACAGACACACACACACACACGCATGCATACACACCGACAAGGACAGATATAATTCTCATTATAAAGACAAAAAGGAATCTGTCACACAAAGCTGTGTGGTCAAAACACAATTATCTTTCCCCCCAAAGAGCAGATTTTTTTTTCTTTCTTCCAGGCAGCTGCGTGGATGCTAAGGTCTCTACTAGCAGGGTATTATCAGGTAGAGGAATACAGGAGAAAAAGTCCACTAGAGAGACAACCAGAGAAAAAGCTCTGTAATCTCTGGCTTATCTTCACTACTCAGAGACGCACTCACAAATAACCTACCGCAATGAAGACCTCCCTCTCTGTAGGCATTCCAACGGGCCGCCAACCGTTGGTGGCACGTCTGCGGCTGAGTCTCTTTTGTTTGGTGCTGCTGAGGCTTGGCAAGGGCGACGGCTGTTTCTGGGGCAGCCGTGTGCGGCCAATGGACAGGGAGCCGTTGGAGGGCTTGGTGCTCTGTGGGCATTCTCTGGCCAGCTTTAACCTGGCCTGGGGCTGGTCTCGCCCCGACAGGGTGGTCAGCAGGTGGGGTTTAGTCTGGGTGGACGTGGGCACGCTGGATAGAGGGCAGCTGGACATGGGCAGGGACGGGGGAACCAGAAGGGAGGGGCTGTGGTCAACCTGAGGGGAGGAGTAACCCTCTGGAAAAGTAAAGGGTGAAAGTAACACTTTTAAATAAAACAGCAAGAAGACAAAAAAATTCATATTTGAAGCTAGACTGTGTAACTTTTGAAATAACACAACACATGTTTGGCTGCTACAGCCTTACTTGGTCTTATATGACCAACAGTAGCTAGCGTTAGCAAACTTTAGGTCGCAGGTTCAGTTGCTGTTCAGCTAAAGTTAAATCAACTTTTAAATGAGAAAACTGCATGGTTCCCCTTTAATCAGCTTAAAAACAACCTGCTTATTTTATCTTATTCATCAGTCTTATTATATATAACCCAATTGTTATGGAAAACTTTACATAAGAGCCGAGAGCTCCTTATCAAGAAATATCAAACTCAGAAGCCTCAGGCTATGAACACTTTTTAAAGCTCATACCAACAACAAAAGACAACAAAAAAACAGAGATGTTCACACTTGCTCGGCCACACAACTAGCTTGAGGCATACACTTAACAACAAAGGACTCTTTAGTTCTGTAAGTAATAACCCAATCCAAGTTTAACATTAGGATAATGGTTTTCTTTCATTAGAACAACCATACAAAGAGGGCTTAAGATGAGTGAACCAAAGAAGAGACATGAGAATGAACTTGCGATCAGTGGGGGCAAATACTCACCCTGCTCCAGATCTAATTGGAAATGTTGAATGTTGTTTCGACAGTCTCAGAGATAGATATTGATGGTTAACGTGGTACTAACTACTTACTTCCTTCCTTTGCAATTGTCTGGATTTTAAATAAGCTGAAACGTTTCCATGATCAACTACCTCCATTTTCCACTCACCTGTTTTGATGCTGTGTGTGCATCCAGCGCACCCTGTGCTGAAAGAACAACCCCTGCTGGTGACAGGAGGCATGGCTCTGTAGGTGTAGCCACTGATCCCGCAGGCGTCACCATAACAGGGCGAAGCCACAGAGTTGCAGTAGGCAGGGTGGGGCAGCCCAGAGGCGTGGGACATCCGTGGACCCAGCAGCTTGGAGCCAGTCATCCGATTAGGGCATAAACTGGAGGGTGCAAAGTTAGGAGGTCGCGAGGCCAGGCTTGCTGACATTGTTCCAGTGTGTGTCGGGTGGGCGATGTGAACGTAGTAGCTGGAGAAGCAGTGTTCGGCGGTGCAGAGGCAGGGGTGGGGGCTGAGGGTCAGAGCCGTGTGCGGGTGGGAATGCGTCAGGGACGGTGAGGTTACGAGGCACTCGCGCTTCACAGGGGGCATGGCTGAGTTAAGCGGCTGGTCGTCTGATTCTCCGTAGGGCTGCTGGCCCAGGAAGAAGGCTAAACGGTGGCAGTATTCCACTGAGCCCTCTGGGGGACAGCAGTAGTACGGGCTCAGTTCGGTCTCCAGTTGCTCTTCCTTCACTTGTTTCAGCGGGTACGCCAGCATGCTGCGCGACTGATAGCCTGGTTTGGTCAGTCGATGGGTGCAGCTGCCGGGCTCCCACTCCACTTTGGGCTCAAAGTCCGCCTTCTTCTTGCAGGCTGTGCAGCTACTGTGCACGGGAGGGACCTTTTTCCCCTTCTGCTTCTGTGAGCGCCCCTTGTGTTTGAGTTTGACTCTGGAGTGCTGTTTTGGGGTTGAGGCCGCAGCAGGAGTCTTGGAGTCTGATGTGATAGTAGCTGTGGGTGCAGCCTTTACTCTCTGTTTACTGGTAGCAGAGGAGCTGGTTAACTTCAGCAGGGCTGCAGCATTGAGTCCAGCCAGTCTTCTGGGGGCGGGGGCATGCAGACTCTCCTGATTCATCCCCCCGATCTCTTCTCGGTTGGCTTTGGCCTTCTTGACCTTCTTAGAGCTTTGGCACAGTTCAAGTTTGTGAGACACGGAGGCTTTACTGATGTTTCCTCGTGAAGACTTCAGACCTCCAGGGACAACACTTCTGACTGGATGTGCATGCAGAGATACCCCTACATTCGTGGGCTCTTCCTGTCTCCTGGCCTGTTTGGCTGTCGGCTGAAGGTCAGTAGCTCTATCAAGCAGTAGACTGTTCACTGCCTCAGCATTGAGCGAGGCTAGTCTTCGCTTGCGAGGTTGTGGGACACACTCGCCATGGCGCGGGCTGTTTGACTTTGATTTGGTTTTTGGTAATGACTTTTCCTCTTTTCTTTCACTGCCTTTCCTTTTTTTAGGTTTGGGTTTGTGAGATAAATGTCGGCGTGCATCCTTTCGCTCCTTTATTTCAGAACGCTCCTGTTCACGGATGCTTTCCTCCAATCGCGTTAGGAGGACATGGCAACTGAGCCCTTCCCCGTCTGAAACCCCAGCTCTGCCCCGCAAAGGATACAACTTCCTGTCCCGTTTCTTGTCACGCCTCCGGTCAAGTTTTCTGTTTTGATCAGATTTTTCTCTCCTCCCTTTCTTGTCATTCATCCTCTTGGCTGGGTCTTTGCTTTGTTTGATGAACTCACGTATCTTCTTTGTCCTGCCGAATCGTAGTGAGCGCTCAGGCCAGGCGCCGCCCATAGCGCCACCATGTGGCCAAAGAGGGCAGTTGTCCCACCACTCAGCACTACTGTCACTCTGCCTGAGGGAACCCTTGTGCCTTGCGTGAGTCATCACATGCTTCTCCACGGGGCCTAGAGAGACGGACAAGTGGTATAAATTACAGTTTGTCCTAGTTTGACCATGTGCTTACAATGTTCACAATCGACAAAACAATCAGTGATCTCTACAGTAGTTTATGTTAGTTACAAGGCTTTTAATCAAATCAAGTTTACTGTCATATACAAAATCATCCGACTGGGCATCAAACCCAGGATCTTCTGGCTGTGCAGCGAAAGTGCTTACCACCATGTAGCCTTTTTTTAAATAACTGGGTCAATCAAGCCGATTGAGCTCTAAATATGTTAAACATCTTATACCATCTTTCTAACTTTTGTTTTTTTCTGATCACATATGTATAAAGACGCTAAGCTCAGCAGGCATCAGAGTTTTCTGACCATACTTACTGATCAGAACAAAGTGGTCAGGGTAGTGCATTATGGACCAAATACGGACCATTAACATTACTTCAAAAAAATTTTATTGTCATGACTTAAAACTAGACAAAAGCTGGAAGGGCTTTGGGGGTGTGGAAAACACTGCGGCAAAAAACAACCTGAAAGCAAGCGAGAGCTAACGAGACACAAGCATAACAAAGATATCGAATATCTTACATAAGCTTGAGTTTAGATTCAAACACAACGACATCTGATGCAATACATAAAGAAGCTTAATGATAAGTAACTTCAGCTGAATGTTTATTGTGATCAGACTGAATTTATTTTATCATATGGAGAGCTCCAGCTATTGTTGGCCTGTTGGAGATCCTGTCATTATAACGGGTCTGTGTGTGTTTTTTATCCAGCATAAAAGGGAACTGATGTACTCTGTCATTCATTCACTGCGCTCTTTGCCTTATCACCTAGTGTGCACAAAGCCTGCAAATAACAGCTTGTTAAGGCCAATTGTTTAGTCTGAAAGCAAAATGTCAAAAAGGCCTGACTACCATATTAAGCTCAACTGAGGAAAATAAGACAAAAAAAACAAGCCAGCCTATTTAAACCAGATACATTCACTGTCTAAAATCAAGAGGTAAATATCCATATTACATCTATGACACAACATACTTTACTCCCTAAGCTCATTGTGAAACCATATAGCAATTAAACTCTATTAGCAACAAATAAGTAGCTTGGGAGTATTTGTAAAAAATACTCCCTGAGCTCATTGTGAAATTGCAACATAAACAACCAAATAATGACTCATGTATGTATTTAAGCCACACTTATTTAAGCAATGTCCATATACAGACCATGACTTTACTTTAGTGTTTAAGGGAACACAGTGTATTTTTATTCTGGAGCTTAGGTCATAAAGATTTATAGTCCGCCTAATGAGATGGGTAAACCTAAAATACAACACACTGAATATGCAGTAGAATCTGCACCACAAAGAAAATAAAACTCCCTACAGCAAATACAATTATAACATCGCCTTGATTCAACTTTCCTTTTGTTAACTGAATGGATGTTTTTTTTGTCAACTCACAAGAGCCTATTGTCCTACCCCATTACTTCGAATAATTAGCTATAATCGGGTAATGAATTTCCCCCCAAAAGAAGACACACTAAATAATTTTTTTCACTGTACACAACAGATTCTTGTTGGCATATGATGTTAATACCAACAAAATTCATATTGTGTGTAGAGTGGACTAGAGTAGAAAGTCTGGTTCAGCTGATCCTGTGGCCCTCCCTAACCCCAGACAAAACAGGCAACACTCAGATCTCTATTAAGTATGTTGTTTTCTACCAGACTCCCTCTCTTCTAAGACACAGAGAGTCTGACAGAAGCTTTTCATGGCTGGTTAACGCTGACTACCAGCTCTGTCTGTGCTACACCGAGCAGTGGTCCGTCAGTCTCCCTTGTGTCCACTGACATGTAAACCCCCCATGTCGCACACCTTGTAACCACTGCTCATCCAGTCGTTATTCCCTTGCTCTTCTGTTGCATTTTTTAATGCATATTTACTGTATGTACTTGTCTCCCTGGTTTCTTTGTGTTAAACAGCAGAAAAGGACTGTCAATGCATAGCTATCAGTGTATCACAAGAAAAAGCGGAACGCAGTAGTAGTTGTTCAAGAATTAGAGGCCAGGGAGTCTGTTCCGACTAGCACAGCTGTGTGAGGCACCGAGGGGCCCGATGCAGAATTCTCTGTCGTGTGAACTCATTCAAGACTGCAGATTTTGGCCCAACTGACGACTCGTTTACGGTCGAGAGCCAGACAAGATTTTTCAGACATGTTTGATTTTGTCCTGACTGGGCTTGTGAAGGCGTGAAAGCAGCCCAAGACTCAATGTCAGAACGATCCTGGCAATGGCCAATGAGAGTTTAGCTCCAGGGTTAACAGCACATCCTGAAATACAATTCCCACTGCATAGCACTGCAGCGCTTAATATAGTTCCTTAACTATCCTCCACCTCAGGAAACACTTGTGATTTAAATATGACAGAAAGTTTGAACCTCTTAAAACAAGAAAAAAAACTTTTTGTGATCTCCTCAGGAACAATAGCAGCATGTTAATCAATGATAACATCAGATAGTGTGTTTGATTGCTCATGTTTGTGTGTGTCTCTCCATCAGGACAGCTAACTCCAGGCTGTACTTCGGAGACAAGATGTAATCCGTTACGCAGTGTGACCTTGCCAGCTAAGACTGAAATTCAATACCAGAATGAACGAATGACAGATCTAAAATTCAGATGTGTTTCTCTTCATATTTAACTCTGTATTCAAGAAAAAATATTGAAATGATGCCTCAGAATCTGTGTGACGAAGGATCTTAATGACCTCAATAATCAGTCTGTATTTATGAATCTATCTAACCAATAACACAGAGCTTTTATTGTGATATTCTTTAAGCAATGAATTTGACAGTTCTCAATTTTCCACCAGCAGTTGTGGGTCACTGCTGAGAAGTGCAGGTGGAGGAACACTGTCGGGAATGACCTGTGAGATATTATCTCACAGCGTTCCAGCCAAGCAACAATTTGGCTCTTTAAACACAGTTAGGTCTGGTGATCCTCAGGAAGTAATCTCACATTTACGGGAAGATCAACGACCCTGCGCTCTGTCTCTAATTGGTTGGAAAACAGATCATCAGCTAATTTCAGAGCATCAAACATCGGGCACACTGGGATACTTTTCTTTATGATGAGACTTGCAAGATCCCCAAGACTCTTGAGACAACGTGTGTGAAATGGCAACACAGATGGGTTTAATAATAATTCATAAAGAGTCAACAGAATCAGGACACATGAACTGACTGAGTAGTGCAATTCAATAATTATCTGTAGACTCCATTAATCTTTTTGTATGCTATGTTATAACTATCAGCTATAAATGTTTCAGTCCAACACAAATTTTAGGCACCAGCCTCCAAATTCAACTGCAATAAATATTAATATTAGTTAATTCAAGCACAAAATCCAACATATCAGACAAAGCACCATATGTCCCACAGCAAGTTACTACTGAGCACATCACAAGGTTATTAAAAAGGATAAAAGAGAACAAAATCTGTTACAGAAATGTGATTTTGTTTATTGCAACACTTTACCATTTATAAACTGTATCTAAACAATTAATAAATTATTTATAACCTGCTGTAATGTAGTTGTAACAGATATAAGGACAATGCAAGTGTTTACTATAACTATAACTATAACTCCACATATAAATGATTAACAGTTATGGACTGTTTGATAACACAGTAAAACATAGTTTTGATCAAATATGTATAACCATATGTCTTCAGTAGTTTTAAATACATTTATAACTACGCCTGTGAATTATTTAATTCACTAGTTTTACTTTAGGGTAACACATCCTTTGTAAGTTTAAAATTAAAACTGTTAGGATATTTATACATAAACGTGTACAGCAGGTTTAAGACTAGAAATGTATGTATGATATGAAGACATCATCTTTTATGATTAAGCCAATGTTACACTGTCTAATTAAGCATTCATTAGCTGTTTATAGACCAGTGATTTATGTTTATAGTAGTTGTTAACAAAGACATTCATAGGGAGCCCCAGTCATCCACCTCGTACCACATATCAATGCTGAGTCCTTACAGCAGTGGCCCGAGTTTGAATCCGGTCCCCTGCCATTCCTGTCTCTCTCTATCGTCACTATCCAAAATAAAATTAAAACACTAAACACAAGACATTCATAAACGGTTTTAAAAAATTTGTTTATATCTGTGTAGAACTACACTATAGAGTTTTATAAAACATTTATGAATGATTTATGGGGGGTAAAATAAAGTGTTACCTTTTTTTTTTTTTACTTTCCTCTAAAGGATGTATGAAAGTTACTGGGGAGTAGAGGAAGACTGACTCACACATTGTATTCTATTAAAAAGCAAGGCCCTCCACAGCATTATTATTACATTTCTCTGGACCCTCCCTCTGACTTACTGCACTACCATCCAACAAATATCTCAAAATGACAAACATAAAAATACTGTGAAAACACAGCTACCATCTATGTTTGAAGAAACTGCTGTGAAACAACACGGCCTATAAACAGCACTGAATGAGTAAACTGGGCCCAGGCCGGTTCTGATGGACTTTCCACCACAGAATGAATGAAGTTAGAAAATGTAGGAAAATTCCCAACAAATATAGACGACCATCCCTTGAGCAATGTTTGTAGCAGTTGTTAACAAAGACATTCATGGGGAGCCCCAACCAGATATCACCACATATCAAGGCTGAGTCAAATCCGGCTCGGGCCCTTTGCTGCATGTTATCCCCTCTCTCTGCCCTGCCTTTCCTTTCTCTATCTAAAAATGTAAAAAAAACAATGGACAACCCTCCCTGCATGAAAAAAAATACACACCTCCTCCTTTATGAGCCCTCTTTAATCATTTTCATACAGTCCTTAATTTGTTAATTCTCCTTGTGAAACTCTGAATTCCTCAAAAGCTCTAAAATCCTTAAAACCAATTTGAGAAAGACAAATGACTTTTTCATGGAGTAGCTCACCACCTCACGTCCACTCCAAAGCCACAACTTACAGATACAGC